AGTAGCGAACATTTTACCTTATTGATTTAGTAGATGCCTTACCCAGAAGGTCCATATACACTACTTTTAAGGGCATAGTTACCAAAAAACCATAATAGGGATGGTCTTTTGGGACCTAATTCCACACTGGTAGTATAGGACCCTCTGGGTTGTGGAATCCAGACGGTTGAGCTTAGTTTCTTTCGGATACTGCACAGCTAGAACTACACAACAGACCCAGAAGTTCGGGACCCCAAAAAGAATAAGCATGCTATAGGGATATCCCTACCTTACTGGGCTTCAGTGTAAGAGGGCTTATACGGGACATCCCCATCCTAATCTTTGCTTATGTGCTTTTTCTGAGACCCCCAATACCGACACCCTTAACCTTTTTGGGTTCTTATAGTTTAATCGGAATCGGAAAGTTTAGCCTTTTCTTTCTGTGGCTTATGGGGGAAGTAGTTTTGGGAGCCCTAAGATGATGGCATCGCGCAGCCTGGCTTTGAAGATCGAAGTTTTCTCATATTCGCTGCTACTCGGAGAGCTTCCGGGTAGCGCTTTCCCACCTGCCATCTACGGTCTCCTGTGCTTGCATGATACTCCAATACACCATAACGACCATAACCTGTTATAATATGCTACGACATACGATGATGCAATCTGATACAAGGCTTCTGTGTGGTTTCGACGGACATCGTTTCAGTGGTTGAACACACGTTTTTTGCATGTGTGTTCTTCGAAAGAAATCCTAGTATGCATTATCGTGTTCGTACAGGCTGCTTAGGAAGCCAACAAGAGACCGTACATAGGAGCAGCCGCCCAAGTATAGGCGGCGCTCTTGCATGTCAGCTCGAGCAAACGTGTTTGCGTCGGGCTTTTAGTCGTTGGAGGCCTGGCCCGCTGGAAGACAGCCTTGCAAAGCACACAATGAAGCCACACTGTCAAGACCTGATTCCTTAGCCCTAAACCCTGGAGCCTTAACCATGAAGCCCTACATATTCTTGCCTAACTCTACAGCCTTAACCATAAAACCCTAGATATTCCTGAGAAAGCCTCTAATCACACAAGACTCCACAGCTTGCCTGTTGGAGCACTTCCAGGTAGTCCGCGGTGCCGTCCCGATTGTCTCACGCAGGCTCCAGATGTACTACCATCATGGAAATAGGCCCCCCGCAGACCAGCTACTACTACTACCACTGCTACTGCTACTGCGACTGCTGCTACTACTGCTACTGCTACTGCTACTACTACTACTACTACTACTACTACTATACAGCAACAACAACAACTATTACAACTACTGCTACTGCTACTGAAACTGCTACTGAAACTGCTACTGCTACTGCTACTGCTACTGCTACTACTACTACTACTACTACTACTACTACTACTACTACTACTACTACTACTACTACTACTACTACTGTACAGCAACAACAACAACTATTACTGCTACTGCTACTGCTACTGCTACTGCTACTGCTACTGCTACTGCTACCGCTACTGCTACTGCTACTGCTACTGCTACTGCTGCTGCAACAACAACAACAACTACTACTACAACTACTACTACTACTACTACTACTGCTACTGCTACGGCGACTGCTACAACAACAACAACAACTACTACTACTACTACTACTACTACTACTACTACTACTGCTACTACAAATGCTACCATTATGGAAGTACTAATACTACAAATGCTACCATTATGGAAGTAGCCCCCACAAGACCTGGTTTCGGGGCTTATTTCTACAATAGTAGTAGACGTGGAGCCTTTTGGTCTGTGTTTAATCACACGAGCCTCCGTCATTTGGGACAAACTCCAGAAGAGCTTCAGCTAGGCCTTCGGGAGTTCAAGGTTTGGAGTTTAAGGTTTGTTAGGTCTACGGCTTGATTACTAATCCCGGAGTTCAGCTACACTCCGGCATCCTCGCAAGCAAGCACAGTCTATTGCCCAACGGGTCCTACGTTCGTATACATATACATACGTGCATAATATATATATATATATATATATATATATATATTTACATACATATATATATATATACATATATATATATATATATATACATATATATATAATATTTATAATAAATATGTATATATATATATATACATGGAGAGAGAGAGAGAGAGTGTGTGTGTGTGTGTGTGTGACACATTACTGTAAGCATGGGGCCGGCAATGTGTTTTCCCTGTGCGTGCATGTATGTATGTATGTATGTATCTATGCATGTATGTATGTATGTATGTATGTATGTATGTATGTATGTGTGTATGTGTGTATGTGTGTATGCATGTACGTAGGTAGGTATGTATGTATGTAGTTATATAAATAAATACATAAATAAATTGCAGATATATATATATATATATATATATATATGTATATGGACAGGGGCTCGCAAGCCGTAAGCACGATCGCTGGGCAGCCTCAGCCAAAACGACTCTGGAACTCCACAATTGGGCTTAGGTTTTGGAGATGTTTGGAGTCTAGGATTTTAGGCTTTAGGGTTTGTGAGGCTTCTGGTTTTGGTTTCAGGTAGACAGGTTAATTAGGTTTAAGGGAAGGGTCGGAGTAGTTAGTAGTAACGAACACTAATTGTTCCTTTGGGTCCCTATATGGTTCTGCTGAAATATGCCCCCCCACCCCACCCCCAAAAAAATAAAAAAACCATTAAATTTATTGGGGCCCCTCTAAACCCTAAACCCTGTAACAGTACATGGCAGATCCAGGTATGAAATCAAGGATCTTCTTGGAATCGACTCGAAGAGTTGGTATGTAATTATATATACCGTGGGAGCCTTCAAGAAAGAGTCCTCAAGAAGCGATCGTTAGGGTTAAGGGTTTATACCTTAAACCCTAAACTCCTTACTTATAAGCAAGGTCTCCCAGTAGTACCCCTTTATTGCCCTTTCATGTCCCGCTTCTATTCACGAGTTTCGGGTTTCGGGGTGAAGTAGCTGTAGCACGGGCCATCATAACCAGTACTGTTCGGATTGTGCCTGGTCAAAGTTTGGTTATGAGTAGCCGCCATGAAAGTAGGAGCGTAGGAGCAGGAGTGAGATTAGGAGGAGGAGCGGTACTAGTGCTTATTGTTTTGCGGTGGACGAGCAATGGTACAGAAATGTGCTGCTGGGTTGCCCACGTCGTTTGTGTAGATTAAGATGATGCTGATAGTCACGGAGTCAGACAAACTCCCTGCCCGAGGGTCTATGTGCTGAAACAGCAGTCATTGCGCTTGAGACCAAACTGGCCAAATATGAGTTCTTGTTAGGCAGAACAGAAGTACACACTGATTTGGCACTTGATCCCTCGGGGCTTTTCAAGACGGGAATCAAGCATGGGCTTGCAACGATGGTAAACGTATGAAGTTGATAGGTGTTCACCGCAATCGCTGCTCGCTCACGGCATCTGGCCCTGGTAATCATGGAACTGCTAGAGACATTCCAGCCTAGGCGGGTGTGTGCTGTGATTTCGACATCGACGGTGTCTTCATCCAAGAAAGATGTACATAGCGTATAATGTTATCCGCTTTCATGACGTGCAGGAGGTGCGCTAAAGTCAAATTTGTTTGGCGGTCGCAACTTGCACCTGAAAAGAGTTTGCCTCTACGAATGAAACTTGTTGTGCTGCCGCATGTCGTACGTCGTAATGGGCTCTCCTTTTTCGTACCACCGAATGAGCAGAGGTTCTGAAAAGCGGTGGCATTGTCGCCAAATGCCCCCTGGGCTCACCAAAGATGTATGTGCTGGTGTCCATCACATTTCTGGTTCGTCTTCCTCCGCGAAGGCTGCTTGAGTCCCGTCATATTTCCATGACCACATAGCTTGACAGCAAGATTTTAGTGTTCGTCCTTTTTCCGCATGACTACTGTCCTTCCTGTCGTCCCTGTGGATGGAGGGATGGTACAAAAACGCGGGCACCTGCCTCCCGATATGCCTGCTGTAGCAGGGTAGAAAGAGTTTAGGACTAGAGTCTAGAGGGCTCTGACGTTTTGGGCCAATCCTGTTCTTAAACCAGGGCTTTTCGTGGAGCCAGGTGACCAAACGAGAGTCGGAAAGTTGGGATACGTCCGCTGGCATTGAGCTGCCAGTTTTCTGCGCAAGCTCCGATGCCATGTGTGGCCCGCATGCGCTTTGTGTTGGTGTGGTTGTTGCATGCTTCGCAGTTCTTTCGAACGGAATCCGGCGCAAATCCGACGCAGAAGCGCAAGGTGGTCCTTTTGCAGTGCACCTTTGGTGCTCGGTCGTCCTGTTGTACGTATGCCAGTGGCCATGATCTTTGGTCGCCGGCACCCCTTTCTCCCCAGACGCTTCGCATAGACTGGTGCAAAAGCTCAGGAGTTTGTGTTCAGGGGTCTTTGAAACTGCAGGTGACGCAGCAGTAAACGGCCGAGGTTCTACAAACATCTTCTGCCGCACCTGAACTATCTAGCCCTTAGTTAGTTAGCTGTAACACAGGGTTCTGGGGAATTGCCAACGCTTTCCTTAGGGTTCATACCATGCCGTTGTAGTACACCCTGAGGTAGGATGTAGGAGTTTAAGGTTAGGGTTCAGGGTTTAGGTTTAGGTTTGATACAGTTGATGATATAAATCCTGCATTACCTTAAGGACCCCAGACTATGGGATTTAGGGTATATAGTATATTCCTTACTACGGGTAATGCCGGATTTATATCATTAACCGTAGGCCTTTTGGGGTCCTAGAAGAAAACGAGGACAGAAGTGTCAAGATCTTGCACCAGCGTCTGCACGGGTAGGGTCCTAATAGAAGCCTCTACTAGCAACTACGTATAGTGCAGTCGTATAGGACGTATAGGACCCCAAATACATAGTACAGGAACCTCTGTGCGAATCCATAACGGAACCCTAAACCTAATAACAATTTAGCTTCTAAACTGCTAGCCCTCAACCCTAACCCTGTGAAGAACCCTTATGGATCCCCGAGAAGGAGCCCTTCTGGATCCCTTTAAAGGAACCCTTACACCCTTAAAGGAATCCTGAAGACAGGAGCGCCGCTTGAGTTTCGAGGTTCTCGCCAGAGGGCTCATGGAGTTGCCCCGCAGCTTTCCTGCGACGGTCTTTCAGGGTTTTAGGTTTTCAGGATTTCGGGCTTAGGCTTTAGGGTTTAGGGATTTAGGCTTTAAGGCTTTAAGGTTTAGGGCTTGTGGAATAGGGTTTCGGGATTTCAGGGTTTCAAGCGGTGTGTGGCTTAGGGCTACGTACAGGGGTTCAGGGTTTGTGGGGGTTTAGGGTTTCAGGATTCTCAGAGTTTAGGTTTAAGGCTTTTAGGGCTAGTCACTAAGTCATCCCGAAGAACCTGACGTAGAAGGGTTCCTTTTCGTGTTTTCTGCATGGATTTCCTGAAAACCGTAGCGTTGAGGATTTAGGGTCAAAGGTGTGGTTCAGGGTTTAGGGTCTGAGTTTGACGAACCTCACACCCGAATCCCTTAGAGTGCGTGCGTGTATCTGTTTGTGGCGGCGGTACATGCCTTGAGCTTTCGAGGAGCTTGCCGTTATATTAGGGTTTAGGGTTTAGGTGTTGTCGCGTTTTCTCGGGCTTCCGGCTTAAACGAGTAGCCCCCTGCACAACCTAAGACTTAAACCCTAAACCCCCAAACCCTAGACCCTGTACAGGGGTCTAGGAGATTGGCATGGTTGATGTCTTTTACTTTAGGACCCAGCTCATTAAAACATGTATAGTATGTAGTATCGTAAAACATAGTCTTGTATATAGCAGAGTAAAGTATAGTATCCAAAAGTATAATTTAGTATAGTATAGTATCATATCGTACAGTACTGAGTCGTAGATACTACATCCAGATGCACTACCGATGCTACCAGGGTCACCACGACTGCTGCCGCGATTGCTACACTGCCACTGCTTCTAGCTCCTGCTCCTTCCTGCTACTGCTACTGCTACACCTACTGATACTTCCACCGGTACCGCTACAACCTGCTGCTTCTTCTCCCGCGACCGCTACCGCTACTGCCGCTGGTGCGGCTATTGCTATAGCCGCAGCCACGGTTGCTGCTGCCTCCTCCTGTTCTTGTGCCACTGCTGCTGCTGCTGCTGCTCTTGCAACTACCATCTCGACTGGTAACAACATGGGACGATAGCCTAACCTTAGATTCCTGCCCCAACGGATTTTATGTATCGTAGACAGTTGTGGTTTGGGCAAGTCTTCTGAGCCCACATGTGCTCTGGGCTGAGGGTTCCCACACAGGGGCACAGCTTCGAAAATGGGGCGATTGTCACACGGCATCGGGATGGCTGCCACTCGGGCTTCATCTGCCAATATAGTACGTTGACATACACGAAGGCCTTAAAGTGATCCCTACACACGTACTTCACGGCTTAGGTATGTACTACATAGGTACATGGAGCCTCAGGGTACGGAGGAGCACCTTTATGCCCCCAACGATGCTCCCCTCAACCCTAAACCCTAAACCTTAAATCTAAACCCTAAACCCTAAACCTTAAATCTAAGCCCTAAACCTTAAATCTAAACCCTAAACCCTAAACCTTAAATCCTAAACCCTAAACCCTAAACCTTAAACCCTAAACCCTAAACCCTGATGCTTCCTGTTTGGGATCGCGGATGGGTTTCCGGTCGACAGTCCCTTTTTCGTCCAGGCCTGTAATTTGGATCTAAGTTATTCCGTAGACAAACCCGAAGGGTCCTAAGTACCACATACGTAATAGGAAGTAGGACTTCTATAGCAGGAATTATTATAAACGGCTTGGAAGTATGGCCCCATGTATAGGTGCTTAGGACTTGGTTGCAAAAACTAGCCCCTACTAGCAGGGCAGGTGTGTATGTCAGCAGGGTTCGGGCGCTGTTGCATGTGTGGACTGCGAAAGGGACGCAGACCCCAGGTCCCGGGCAAGGCGACAGCTTTGCATGAAGACTTGTACCGGTGGCTTGCCACCCGCCGGGAGGACCTCTACGAGCGGAGTGATGACCAACCGCTTCACTTCAAGTGTGTTGCTTGTGGCGTGTTTGTCAATGCACACCGCCCGACCACAATCAGGTACATGCTGCAACACGAAGCATACGAGGAGCACATCATGAACGCTGATGCTCGCAGGTCAGGGCGACTGTGCCAGGGATTGGTGCTATCAGGATCCGGCGAAGCTGCAGAAAAGCATTTCTCCTCCTTCCGACTCTGGCTTGGCCAGGGCTGTCTGTTCTGGGGCTCCGCGACAGCCCATGCGTGCTATCTGGAAGCGGACCAGGTTTACGGCTCCCCCCCACAAACCACTGCAGAGTCGAACACCAAGGTCCCGAAACCTGAACCCCTGACTCTGACTGAAGCCCTCCGCTCCCTAAACCGTAGACCCAAATACGTACTAATCCCAAAGCACGCGAATCCCTGAAGCCCCAAACCCCAAAGCAGTGTACATCCGAGGCAGTGGCCATCGCACCCTTTGGGTGGCTAAGCGCTCCATCGCGGACCACCAGCGAAAGATCATGCACAGGCGATTTAGGGTTCGGCTTTAAGGTTCATGGTGTCGAGGTTCTGAGTGAGCTGGGCCGGTTCGAAAACAACCTTCAAAGGGCTTCACCACAGGGTTCTATAATACGGCCTTATAAGGTTTGGGTCCAGGGTTACATGTCGGCGTTGATTGAGGTTTTCGGATTCTCGGGTTGGGGGTTTCGGGTTCAGGTATGGTAGCCAAACAGGAAGCTGCCGTCGAAGGCTTAGTAGGGCTGAGGTTTGCCAGAGGCCAGGCGGATCGTGGTTTAGGAATGTAGGGGCTCAAGGCCCATCACAGGGAACCGTGAGTGCTTGGGGGGGGAGGGGGTCCGAAAATAGGGGACCCTAATATAGTACCCTAAATAGTAGGATCCTTACTATAAGGACCCCAAAATAAGGTAACCCCATTTTCGGAAACTCCCACTTGACAGATTTAACATTTGGGTGTCTTTTCTAGGTAGCTCTCAGGTCTCAAGCGTGGACGACGAATGCCGTGGCTGGTGGTGGCGGTGGTGGCGGCGGTGGTGGCGGCGGTCTTTCGCATTCGCCATCATGATGATGGTGATGATGATGATTATCATCTGCGACGACAATCACAATAATCTCTCAGTTTCATACACAACCAGAAGACCATAAACCCCTGTTGCCTTTGCAAGAAATCTACAAAGGGTTTTTCAAGCCCTTTGACGGCGCAGCGCTAGCCAAGCTTCTGAAGCCCGAAGTTCGTCGAGGCCAGGAGTGTGAGACGGTTTAGGATGGACGTTTTTAAGGTTTGGGGTTCAGTGTCTAGGGCTTAAGGCTCGGGTTTGAGGTTTCAGGGTCAGGTTTAGGGCTTACGGTAATTATAGCATTCAGGGCTTGTACCGTTTAGGGGTCGCAGGCGGGAGTGTGAGATGGATGTGATCCACCAGACCTTTGCCAAGCATTACGCGGAACTCTTCAACCAGGACGATGGGCTTTGAATCTTCTGGGGAGGGTTGTCGGCTAGGTGAGTTGAGGGATTAGGGCTTCAAGTTAAAGGACCCAAAACCCTAAACCCGGATTTGGAGATCTTCAGGGATTTCGGTGTTGTATGCTTTCCTCGAAGCCTTGAACCTATAAGTTTCGAAGTTTAGGTTAAGGTTTAAGACACGAAGAAAGATCGTGAACCCAACCCATTACAGCCCTCGCACTCTGAATCTACGAAGCGATCCCAAAAATATAGCGGATCCCAGATTTGCTGTGAATCCCAGCCCTAAAGGGAGTAGGGGTTCCGGAGTTCAGGTTTCTTGTAGTGGCTCTGGGCTACAGAGCTTAACTTATATAGAGGCTTTGATATGTACCTATACTATTTTGCGGGGTTCCCTGTTGTATATTTGTAGTAGAATGGGCCCCCAAAACCCATTCTTATCATTCAGGCGCCTACAGTACACAGGGTTTACAGTCATAGATCCTTTAGAATATACCCCTGAAATCCACCCTAAACCCTAAGCTCCTGAACCGTAAAACCCGAATATACCCCTGAAGCCCGTCTGCCAGGAAGTCCACCGGCGTTCCCTCGATTCTGCTCCTGGTCGATGTGGAGCTCACGACGTGGACTTCCTGCTGACCCACGCCCTGCGGTTGCAGATGTCGGGGTTTCCGAAAATAGGGGACCCTAATAAGTAGGACCGTTATTATAAAGACTCCAAAATGAGGTACCCTTAGTTTCGGAAACTCCCATGTCATTAAGGAGTTGAGGAGCTACGGGGTTAGGGGAGTTAAGGGTTGAGGATTTTGTCTTTCATTTCGCGTTCAAGATTTTCTGTGTTGGATTGTGATTTCTTTGTGTAATAGTGGTCTTCAGTTTGCTGTTTCGAGTCGTGTTTAGGGGGTTAGGATAGTTAAATTTGCTACCGGGGTCTGAATAAGCACAATCTGCATATAATGCCTACGCCCAGGCCCTAAACCGTGGTTGCTGAGGCCCTAGCATTGCAGCTTCTGGGCTGGAGGTTACCAGGCCTCCGAAAAACCCTAGGTTTAAAGTTCTTATTACAAACGAATCTTGCCAGGATCTCAGTCCCAAAAAGCACACAAGCCTCAGTTAAAGAACAAGTCCTGTATTAGATGGTGAATGTTAAGAAAACTTTTGTAGTTCGCACCTTTCGGAAGGTTCCTTGATCAAGCTGCAGATGCGGGCTCTCTGAACCCTGAGACACCTACATAACATGTGTTACAAACCCTTTGTAATGCGACAGAGCCTTATTTAAAGTGACAAAGGATCCATGGAGCCCGTATTTTGTGTTTGTTTGTTGGGAGGCTCTTTAGGCCTTGAATCCCCAACCCCCATCAAACCCCCTGGATAAGCTCTTCAACGCACTATTTCGTCGTGGGAGGGTCTTTGGAGCTGAGGCCTTTCTCTAAACCCCAGAACCCAACTAAAACCCCTAAGCCCCAAACCCCTGCCCTAAACCCTTAACCCCAAGCCCTAACCCGAAGCCCTAAACCCTAAACCCTAAACCTGAAGGTGGTGGAGCTTCCAGAGAAGAGCACCTACTCCGCCGAGGCCTTTATGCTCGGCGAGCTGCGCTGCTGAAAGAGTCCTAGAGGTTTGGCTCTAAAACCCACCGTCAAGTAGATACAGATTACCATACTCAGGAAAGTAGGGAATACTTCGAAATATGGGATTCCATGCACGTCCCAGACCTTAAAAACGCCATAATTCAGGAACATACCGTAGCTTATAGTAGGATGTCTAATATGAATTAAGGTATATTCCACAAATAAATGCTTTTGGAGCGCCTGGGGCGCTCTGAGAGAGAGTTTGGGGTTTGGGGTTTACGATTAAGGGTTTCGGCGATGACGGTTTAGGGTTTAGGGTTTAGGGTTTCGGGTTCAGGTGGTGGTGGATCTAGATGCTGCTTGAAATTTGGGAAATGCGTCAAATTAAGGAGGGGTCCTTAATATGGTATAGATATATATGTATACACACTACTGCTACTACTACTACTACTACTACAACTACTACTACGGTTGGTTCTTTCGGAGTTTTTGAGGCTCAGCACATACCATGTGGAATAATCGGGGTGAGTATTTGCATGCAGTCCTTAGAATAGTTGTACCAGAATATACCCAAAACCGTATTCCAGTTATCCAGGCTTTAGATGGGGTTGCCTGTCTAGCTTAGTTACGACTCAGTCATGACCGCGTACTTGCAGGGTTAACCTGAGGTCTGTGGGTTGTTTTAGGGGTTTAGGGTAAGGTCTGTGTTCTGCATCCCTTGCTCTTTATCATTAAGCTTTCAATAAACCTGTTTCAAAAAATAATCAGCTGCGTGCTGCAGCATTGCAAAGCCTCCGGGCTTATGGCCAGGCGAGTGGAGCATGCAATTGTTTGACTCATCAACTGAGTGAGCTGTCCACTGCAGTGAACCATAAGTTGATGACCTGGAGGGACATGTGCTTCTTCTGGGCTCTTGTTAAGAAGCTTAAATTAAGCTACCATAATAGTGGTTTCCATACTATGGGAAGTTTAATTAGATCCCTGAACCAGAACCCAGTCCTCAAGACAAAGTGGGCAAGCAGATGATTGAGCAGGAGCCCTTGCGGAAGCCTCACACAAGCTTTGCCGAATCTTCTGGAAATTCCATGGAAACCTTACACAGTTCGAAGGACTAAGTCGGAATCGCGACCAGCCTTTGTATTCCAACTTGTCTGTATTTAGTGCTTAGGGTTGAAAGCCCAGGGTTCAGGGCTTAAAGTCCAGGGTTTAGGGCTTAAAGTCCAGGGCTTAGGGCGTGGAGTCAATTGCAGTTGTGCAAAGCTCTTGTTGATCGAAACTTGTTTAGCTCATGTTGTGAGCCTGGCATCCATGCTACACTGGGTTCTTGTTAAGGGATTTAATTTAAATTCCCAGAACAAGGAAACCACATTATCTACTAAAGATCCCTATTCTGGTAACTTAGTTTAAGTTTCTTAACAAGAGCCCAGTACAAGGTATCGCAAGCACAACACTAACGGCGGGTTCACCATGGGCCCACGACAGACGCCGCAATCCTTTAGCTGCCCAGCTGTACATTGGATTAGCTTCCCGAGCTGCGGAATCTCGTAGATAGCCTTTGTTGGGATGAGGTCGTCCTCATGTTGACGCCGTCGTCGTTGTTGTCTTTCTTGTTGTTCCGCTCCCTTGGTGTGAGAATCTTAGATGTAAAACTCAGCTATTCTGCGGTCGGCTCCTCGCCCGGTCCCTGAAATTCCCCCCGCAGAGCGTCGCCAGAGGGATCAACTGGAATCTGCCACTCACCACGACAGTGCCGGCACCACAGCCGTTGCTGCAACTGCTACCGGCTGCGCTCGCACCACCACAGCAGCAGCGACAAACCCCAAACACCCAAAAGCCCTAAGCCCTAACCCCTAAAACCCTAACCCTAAAACCCCTGAAACCTAAAGGCTGAACCCTGAAAACCTAAAACTCTAAACCCGAAACTCTGAACCCTAAACCCAGAACAAGAATCACAGAAGTGAGCATCTTGCGAGAGGTTTGGGGGTTCGGAGCTGAGCCTTGCGGTGCTTCCTGAGCGCTAAGCCCTCAGCCCTGAACACCAAATCCATGAAGCCCCAAATGGTAGGACCCTTATTCTGAGGACCCCAAGATAAGGCACCCTTAATTTCCGGAAACTCTCATCCGAACCAAAACAACTTAAAGGGAACTCCAGAAAGTTGGAATATGGTTTCAGGGTCGGATACCCTATAATTTACCATAAAGGGTTTAGGATAGTCATGTTCCACCTTTCTGGCTTTTACTGTATACAGATTTCTGTAGGTTCTACAGGCACTCAAAGCCAAAGCTCCTCGAAGCCTAGACCTCCACACCCTCAAAACATTCCGTGCTGCAGAATCCAGAGTCCGGAAATCGCAAGACTCCACAATTTCGGGGCTGCTGGGTTTTGAGGATGCCGATTCTTCAGGGTCACTTGCGGTGTCACGGCTTGGGGGGGAGGGAGAGTCGAGGGAGAGTCCCGAATGCTACTTGACCTCTCGCAAGGTGTCGCGAGGTTACTTCAACCCTAAACCCCAAAGCCTAAAGCCTAAACCCTAAGGTTACTTCACCTTCATCAAGTCGGGAAAGCGGCTGCTGCGGCCTGAGAAGCGAGACTTCGCATCTGGGTGGTTCTCTAGGTTGGGGTCCCTTCTAGGTCCTCGGTATTAGCAGTACCATTTATTTGGGGATTCCTTATTATGATTATGGTATAATGGGCCCTAAAACCCTACTCTACACTATACAATCCCTATGTAACCAAAAAGGTTAACCTTTAGTTCCCCATGATACCCGACAAGTAGGTCAACAAAGTACGCTGCCCTTATGAAAAGGACCCTTAAGAGGGACCCTATCTTAGAGAACGACCCCCAATCTCGGGGCCATTCTGTGCCAGTCAGCAAGGTTTGCTGAAGCCGCACTGAACGTGTTGCTATTGTATATAGGAAAGCTGGACTGGAAGTGGCTGTGACTTTGCAGTTTCGCGCATTTGATTGGTGAGGAAACCCTCTACCCTAAACCCTAGACGCCCTAAACGGCCCGAAACCCCATACCGTCTACCATAAACACCGTGCCGGACGTCTCTCTCCGAGGATGATCGTGGACATCCAGGGCGTTGGCGACCTTTACACAGATCCGGCCGCTTGTCAAGCAGTTCGGTTCTTTCTCGCTGGAGTACATCCGAGACTTGGGTTCAGGGTTAAGGGTTGAGGAGGACGGGACAGGGATCAATTGTCCATGAACCTCACAGTATTCAGACGCAAAGATACATGTATGCATGTAGAATGATAGAACCAGTTATGCAAGCAAGACTTGGAGTGGCTCAGGCTAACAATCGTTTTCCAACAACAGATACGACTCTCCCCTAAACCCTGAACCCTAAACCCCGACCTCTTCATCAAGAGCTGAAAATTGGAGCCCTTTCGGCCTGTGGAACGAGTCTTTGGTTTTGGTAAGCCACCGCAAACCC